AAGAATGTCCACATTCCGTTACCGGAACCGACACAAATCACACCGAGATATCGGCACTCCGTTCAGGTAGATTGGAACCCGCCAACCACGAGACGATGGGTTGGCCAAGGTAACTCCTAAACAATCATTTAATCGTGTATGTGTGTGTGTGCGCATATGGAAACATATTTTGGGTGTGTGTGTGGGCAATAAAGGTAAACTAACCCCCAAGGACCCATAGACTTACTTTGGGTACCAAAGTGTTGTTCCTTTTTGCAGGAACGGTCCAAAGTGAAGAAATCCGGAAGTCAGGAGGAACCAGCGATGGGTGGGTTATACCATCGCTGGGAGGGAAGCTTCTTGCTTTCAAAACCCCTCTTCCCATCGATGGGAACTTCCCCCCATCGATGGGTTGTTGACTCTATTGTTTTTTTTTTAAAAATGGTTAACAAATTTCCAGAACACCTTTACCCATCGATGGGTAGTTTATGCCATCGCTGGGTGAGTGCTTGCTTTTGTTTCAGAACCTCCCAACCCATCGATGGGAAGTTCCTCCCATCGCTGGGTGTTTGACACTATTTTTTAAAATTTTTTAACGGATTTTCAAAACTACCAACCCAGCGATGGGATGGTATTAACATCGCTGGGAAGGCTTTCGTCCTTTATCCTTCACTTTCCAGAACCCACCTTCCTATCGATGGGGGAGTCCACACATCGCAGGGAAGGCAATCTGATTTTCTCCTTTGCTTTCCAGTAGAGACCCTCCCATCGATGGGTAGTTCTTACCATCGCTAGGAAGGCTGTTGAAATTCAAAAATTATGGCCGTTGGGCACCAAATTTAATGCCCAACAGCCATATTTTTTGAATTCACATGTCTTTTTCCTCCTCTCCCTATATATTCACATCATCCCTTAACTTCTTAACACACAATTAACATCATTATTTCATTTCTTTAGCCTATATCACTTATTTCTTCAATCTTTCTTCAAAAACGCCTCAATCATGGCCGGAGGAAGATCAAAGACTAAGCCTTCCAAGAAGAAAAGCACCACCGAACCCTCAAGCTCCGCGCCTCCTCCGTTCCCATATTTGGACCGATCTCTCCACCTCGCGTGCTCCCGGAGTTGTTTCCCTAAGACAAAGGGTACCACGACCTCGACAACCAACTCCAAGCGTCGGGTTTGTGGCCATTCGTCTCCAAGAGCCGCTCGAGCTTCAATCCCGCCTTCGTCCGGGCTTTCTACTCCAATCTCCGCCGTGAGGGGGACACCATTCGCAGCAGCATCAATCTCTACGACATAGAGATTGATTTGCCTACCTTTGCTCGGGTCGCAGGGCTGCCCATCCGCGCTGACGACATCGCAACATATGGCGGCGATGATTGGATCCTCAACAACGAGGCGGTGATCATCCGAGAGCTTGGGATCACCAACCTCATCCGCCACAGCGGCACACCAACGATTCACTCGGCCCCACCGGATAAGCGCCTTGTCCTCTACATCATCACCCGGATTCTCCGCCCCCGGGACAGCAGCCATACCTCGCTCTTCAACGAGGACTTGAAGGCGATTCATGCCATCATCCACGGCGCCTCCATCACTTGGGCGAAATTCGTTATGATCCACATGGCGGATTGCGCCTCCATCGCCACTGAGCGGAGCTTGCCATACGCCTTCCTCGTCATGGACCTCATCATCTCCGCCGACATCTCCATCACCGGCCCGGATACGAAGATGACAAAGATTTGGATAATTCAAGACAGCACCTTCCGGAAGAAGTCCGGAGACCGGGACGGCGCAGGCCCAAGTCGTGCACCAGCCCCCACTCCCGCCAAGGCCTCTTTGCAATCCATAGCCGATATTCTGAATCGGCTAACCCTCATAGTGGATGGCATGGGGCATTCAATTGAGCAGATAGACTAGACGCTGCAACGCCAACACCACGACATGACGGCGTTCTTTCGCGGCATCAACTACGTCCCGCCGCCCTTTGACAGCACCTTCCTCGGCCAAAACTATGAAGGCGAGGATGAGGAGGATAACTCCTATGCTCCATCCTCCTCCCCCGACGAGGCCGACTTTGAAGATGCGGTCGACGGCGATCCCATGGACGTCGAGGACGACGAGGATGACGACGAGGACGCCGATGCTTAGACTTTTCTTTTCTCTTCTTACTATGATTGTATTTTTTATTTTTTCCATTCCATTGTATTCCGCATTTCCCTTTTTTCATTAATAAAAGTTTACTTTTACAATTCTAAAGTTTACTTTTAATTCTTTTTGTTAATGTCAAAAGGGGGAAGATATTAAGGTTATGCATAAATTAAGGGGGAATTTTTTTTTAAATGGCATCTATTGAGGGGGGGACATCTTTTTTAAAATAATCCTCCTATGCATAACCTCATCTCGTTTTCCATTATCAAAAAGGGGGAAATTGTTGAAACACGGGCTTGTCACGTTTTCGTACTAAAGCCGTGTTCATTTTTGTAACAGGTTTTGATAATGCCAAACCACCGTGATCAAGTCGAACATTGAATATACAAGGCGAAGAAAGAAGATAAGAGCAAGAACTAAACGAAGACCAAGAACGAAGACCTTAATCATAGTATTGAGTCGGTCTTTATTGTGATCAAGACCGACCCAATCTTTACACCTTGGCTCTTTAGGCTAAAATCTCTCATTGCATTTCTTACATCATAAAAATGTTTTTCAAACTTGTTTAAGTCATTAAAAACACTTGGTGTTCGCCCAAACCAAAAACCAAGCCATCCAGTGTTCGGCTTT